TTTTTAAAATTTATCATAAATACTTAACGAGGCTGCTCTACTCATAACGAGGTGCTCTACCCATAACTTTAACTTAACTTTAACTTTTACTTTGAGTCAACTCCTTAAAAATCCGATCACTTATTTTCATATAGAAGACCTCGTCTATGGAACATAGTTCTTGATGAAAATATAAAAAGTAAAGCCTCAAGTTAAACAGTATTTACTTGAAATAACCGACACAAATTTATTTTTGTATTTTTATCTAAAAAAAAAAAATCTTGTTATGTTTAAGTAAAATAAACATTATCAACAATGTTGATTACATTTATACAAATACATTAATTAGTTAAACTATGCTATCATTATAACTCGACTTCTTCTGACTATCACTGTAACTTATTTCGTTCTTCTTGAACTCACTTACTCTTAAGTAAGTGAGATTAATGTAAGCAAAGCGGGTGACGATGCTCTTTAGTGAGCTGAACTTGTCTTTGTAGGCCCGGGTATGTGGCCTCTATATGGCAATTAGCCGGAGGAGGATAAACCATAATACCCAATCTTGTTATGTTTCTTACTTTATCTATTTATTTGTTCTATTGTAGCTGTTTATCGTATTTTATATAAAGAGTATTTGTAAATTTTTGTAATGAAATATTTTTTAAATACTTTACGCTTACTATAGGGATATGACTTGACTGTCTTCTATTTGCTTTTTTCGTTCTTGTTTTTTATTTATATTTTGTTGTTGAAACTTGTAAAACAAGAACGTTTTAAAATGTTGTAAACAAATATTTACAATAGATTCTTCAATTTTGGCAACAATTTGTGGTCTTTCATTGCTGTTCCTTCTAAATCTATTGGTTTTGTATAGAGTTATATTTTGCAGACGTTAGGTAAATGTTTGCCAGATCAACAAACATATGGCTAGCGTTGTTCAACCAACCTTCATGCTGTATATGGTTCTGTGGCAAATTTCAAACTCCAACCAAATATAAATATTGTAAACTAATTTTTGCATCATTAACCTACTTCGTCCAAATATCTTAATATCTCTTTTTAACACTTTTTTCACCAGTTAAAATACCGCTGGTAACGATTCGTTGCATCTTGATATACGTTTAAACCAAATTAAAAATTGCATGTATTGCAATACAAATTAATTTTATTAGCTTACGTGTTGATTTTAAAGTGGATGATTTATAAGGTTAGCTCCATTAGACAACCTAAATTTCTTGCACGTGGTTTTGCAATTATTTCATCAGCAACAATAATAGTTGTTGGGGCACAGACAACATATCTAAATAAGCATAAACCTTTTTATAAATACTTTTTGATAATAATTTTAATTAATATTAGAAACACGGTTTTATATTAACAAAATTAAATTATCTATTATTGATAACAATCCATCAAGCTATTCTGCCTTAAATATATTATGGTGCTGAAAATAAACAATATTCAACTTTATAATTTAATTAGCAGTTATCGTTTTTTTTTTAATTTACTTCTTAGTAAATAATTACTTTTACAATCGTTATCAGAGCCGACGGTATCGTCAGCCGGTGTCGTTATTTTACTAGTTAAATAGTAACATAAATTCAGTTAAATTGTTTTAATTTTCAAAATGAATTAGCACCACTTTATGACTTAATAAACACATATCCAAGCTGAAACTACTTTTGAAAGATATAAAATTAGAGGTAGCGGTCGAACCTAGCAATCTTCATGGCTCATAGTTTGGCATTCGTGAGAATTTATTAAAAATGTTTTGATAAACGAAAAACTGTAATATAACAATTATGTTTTCATTTATCAAAAGTTGATTTTTAATAAGTTTCAATTTTTGTGATTACATTCAATTTTAAAACATCTTTACTTCCAACAAGGGTGCGAGCATATTAGAGTTGGAAGTTACTGGAAGAGAAAAGATGAAGTCAATAAAGAAAGATAATGATTAACATAAGACTTAAAAGAATGAAAAATTATATGAATCAGGAAAACAAGATTAAGGGAGTGAATTCCAAAGAGCTGATGGAAAAAACTAGACAAAAAAAAACTTTTAGAGCACTTAGGAACAGCCACAGTTAACATTTATCTTTTTTTATTTTACCAAGTAATGCCTTCTTTTTAAATAATATATTTACCAAGTAATGCCTTCTTTTGAAAAAAATATTAACCATGAAATCTTCTTTTTGAACAAAAAATTAACCATGAAATCTTCTTTTTGAACAAAAAATTAACCATGAAATCTTCTTTTTGAACAAAAAATTAACTATGAAATCTTCTTTTTGAATAAAAAATTAACCATAAAATCTTCTTTTTGAATAAAAAATTACCCATGAAATCTTCTTTTTGAATAAAAAATTAACCATGAAATCTTCTTTTTGAACAAAAAATTAACCATAAAATCTTCTTTTTGAATAAAAAATTACCCATGAAATCTTCTTTTTGAATAAAAAATTAACCATGAAATCTTCTTTTTGAACAAAAAATTAACCATAAAATCTTCTTTTTGAATAAAAAATTAACCATGAAATCTTCTTTTTGAACAAAAATCAAAAAATTGAATAAAATTGCGATACAGATTACTTATCCCGTTTTGAACTATGTAAGTGGTTAACTAATTAAATGCAAATTTTATATCTGTGAGTGTGCATAAATGCAAACTGATTGCATTTATGCACACTGATTGCAAAAACTTGACTTAATGTGTTTACTTGACTTATGAATCTGCATAAGTTTGAACCGGAAAATTGTAATTAAAGAATATACCATCACAGTAATTGAAAATATTTGATTAAGTGTTAAGTGAAAACAACCATTATTACAAACTAGTAATAAGGGTTACAAACTTGTAATAATGGTTACAAACTAGTAATAATGGTTACAAACTTGTTATAATGGTTACTAACTTGTAATATTAGCCAATAAAACCTTTTGTACTCTTTTCATAATCATAAATCATAAAAAACAAATATTACTACTTATTTATTGTTTTTCTACCAAAAAATATTTTTTTAGAATCAAAATAATAATATACTATATTATTGCGATTCTAAAAAAAATCTTTTGATTCGATTTTACATTAAACAAAACACTTCGTTGCTTGCGTAAAAAAGCTAAAAATTGCGTAAAAAAGCCTTAATTTTTTTGGAGAAGAAGCTGAAGGTTTTTATAGCCGTTGTTAGAAATACTTTGGGGGCAAGTTGATTTTTGGCTACTGACAGTAATCCCTATTATCAACTAGCGACAACCGTCAAACAGTAAGAAAAATTTTTATCCAAACAATATATACATTGTGTAGCAGAGATTACTTGCAAATACTAATTCCTGGCAACCCAATAATGGTCTAGATATATTTTTTGCGGAAAAAATTTGTCGCCTTTATTAATTTTATTTTTATAATTCCAAATAGTAAAGGATGACACTCATTATAAAATTTTGTTGAACAAATTTAATCTTTTTATTGAATTTCATATTAACATACCATAAACATTATTGAATGCTTTTATATCCAAAGATATTGTTAGCTTTGCGTAGGAACAGCCACAAATAGTCATAAATACTAATTAAAAGTAGCGTCCGTTATTGAGCAACATTTTTGCATACTGAAGTCTTACTCAAGCGTTAAGTTGGCGGTAAATAGATTTAAAAATGCATCACACAACAGTCCGGGTTTTAACAGTTAACGCCCTAACCAACTGAGCTATCTATCTGTTAGTAAATTAGTCTAGTTAGTTTATCCAAAAAAAAATTACGTTTAGCATCCTTTTTCGTTGGGCGTGTATTGAATTGCATGTTCACAATTCAATCCACGCGAATTGAATTGTTTTTAAAATCTTGCTGCCATTGATGTAACTAAAAAACTTAACTTCATCAGTAAATGTTTTCTGTTTTAACTTTATAGTTTCGTTGACTTGCTAGTTTGACCTACCGCCCAATACAACTAGTAAAACTTTTTTGGATTGGGTAAAACTCACTAAAAGTTTTGGATTACAAAGTTTGACCTAGAGTGGCTTTATATAAAGTCACTCTTGGTCAAACTTTGTATTTTAGCACCATTCATGACTTTCCAAGTAAGTCATGAATGGTACTAAAACTGGCCCAATAAGCAACTAACTGGCGAGCAACCACTCATTTGCGAAAGTAACGCCAACATGCAATAACGCATAATTTGTGCTGCTCCGGTAGCCTTTTCACGATACCTTATTATTTTTTTTCCATACTATTCTGCGTGAGGAAAATGTTTTGATGTATTCCATCCTAATGCGTTTTGATCTTACTTCATTATACTTTTTTTATTTGATTTTTAATGATTTTTAAATTAACTTGTTTTGATTTTCGATGTTATTTTAGCATAGTTCTAATTTTTTGCAATTATCTTTTAAAACGTTGGTCTTACAGTGCCAAACACGAAGCACTCAGTCAGCTAAGGTCTAATGTTTGGTACCAAGTACCAAAAACACTTGATATACTTGACCTTTTTAAGCTTTGGTATCAACATCTCCCCTCCCTATCACCACCATCAAAAATTTCTGGATCCGTCAATGATATCGTTTAACTCATTTTAAAACGTTCATAAAATTAACTTAAAAATTAACAAAATAAAATTTTGTTTCTTTTGTTTTTGGTTTTTTTTTTCTTGTTATTGTTTTTCTCCTATCTTTTCAATCTTTTAACCGTGAAGTACATGTGTTTTTCAAACTGCGAAGAATTTTTTTTCACTATTTTTTGATTGGTTTGCAAAGCTAAATCTTTTGATTTAAATGAAAGATACAAAAAATTTCAACGACACTTTAGTGTCTTATAAATAAAAAGTGAATAATGCCTGGTTTAACTGGTAACAATTTTTTTTATCAAATTCTTTGTTCTTCCCATTGATTTTCTTTTAATCTTCTGAATCTTTTGATCTTAGCTACATGTGTTTTTCAAACTGAGAGCGAAATTTTTGCGCTGTCTTTTGATTGGTTTATAAGTATAAATCCTTTGATTTGAATGAAAAGATACAAAACTGAGATTTTCGTAAACACTGAATGTAAAATGGAGTAATGCGCAGTTCTAAACAGATTTTTTGATACAGGATTTTAAATAAAATTAATTTTTATATTTCTTACATTATATTTCTTATAATATGAGCGAAGATCAAGATCTATCCAATGCATGTGAATTTATCAAAGGTTTGTTTTAGGTTTTTTTAATCCAATCTTTGGCTTCGTTTCTATCCTAAGCTGGATAAGTTGTTTTATATATTTAACAACTTCAGGTATTCCTAATTAATTATGATTAGATACCTCTTTACAAAAAGCAAAGTTTTTTACATTTTTTTTTACTTTTTAAATGTAATTTTAAAAAAAGAATTAAAAATAGAAGTTTTAAACTTACTTTGAATGGATTTGCAAGTACATGATAATTCTTTAGTTAATAAATAGTATTTATTGTCGATCTTAAAAATTTATTAATTAAGGTATTTAAAACTAGCTATATTTACAGCTAATATATATATATATATATATATATATATATATATATATATATATATATATATATATATATATATATATATATATATATATATATATATATATATATATATATATATATATATATATATTCATGCCCTCTGTCAAGCAATACCTTATATGTGTAAAAAACAATTTTTTTTCTATAGAAGTTTAAACTGATTAACTTTTTAACCTAAATAACTCAGAAAACTAAAACAAATTAAAAGACAAAAGATGAGTTTTGCTTTACAAAACATATTTTCATTACTTTTTGATTATTTTTAAATTTTAATAAAATAGATATAATATGTATATGTATAATAATAATATGTAGCCCTCAGAATTAGGAAAAATAAGGTTGGCAATAATTTGCTTACCTTAATCTGTGTGAGGTCGGCATCAGGTCAGCAGAAAAAATGTAAAACAATGGTTTGACCATAAAGCATAGAAATGAGGTCAGCCATTTTTTGCCAACCTCAAATATATATATAAATATATATTGCTTTTTTTGACATAATCTAAACATAACCTGACATAATCTAAAATAATAATGGCCAAAATTAACAATCTACTGTATTATATATATATATATATATATATATATATATATATATATATATATATATATATATATATATATATATATATATATATATATATATATATATATATGTATATGTATATATACAGTATTGGCCATAAATAACAATGTTTTTTTTGATGTCATTGGACTTTGATATGAAATCAATGATTGTTTGACTTTTTATAAATATAAAAAATGTATATTGATAAGCATTCTATTTTCTTTCAAATAAATTTAGATATTCATAAAAATATTATTCGATGTGCTAGTTACATTAACAGTCCACTGTATTATTTCAAATTAACAATCCACTGTATTATTTCAAATCTCCTTCAAAATTTCATCTGTTTTTGATTAAAATTTTTCACTTATTTGCAAACTATTTATAATTATTTGAGAATTTTTATTTAAATTGTTACCAATATTTGAAAAGTTTGCATAAAATGAAATAGAAAAATTAGTATCTAATTAAGTACAGTATTTCAGCAATAAAACAATCAAATTGACTGGAAAAATTGTTGATAATGTAACAAAATATAAAATGATAGTAATGAATGAACAAAACATCCTAATGAGAGAAACTGCAAAACATTTTAACACAACACATGCCACTTTTAGCAAAATAATCAGCCGATATTAAAGATACAATTCAATTCAAAATCTTCTATATGCTGGAAGACTCAGTATTTCAAATAAAAGAAATAAACGTTCACTTATTTGCATAGTGAAAAAAATAGAAGTTTATTACATGGTGGCCACAGTCCTGGAATGTCCTGGAAAATTAAATTTTTTTCAAAAATGTCCTGAAATATCCTGGAACTTTTTTTTTTCTGAGTCAAGTTAAAAAATTACTAACAATATTGAAGCAATATTAAATTATGCGAAAAATTTTTTTTATATAAATGGTTTGAATTTAGTTTTAAATAAGAGAGTAATAATAATATAATAATATAATAATATAATATTCTATTCTATAATTCAATCAATATGAAAAAAATATAACGTAAAGATAATTGATAGTATTCATTTAATAAGATATAAAATGTCCTGGAAAACGCAACAAAATGTCCTCGAATGTCCTGGAAATGTCCTGGAATTTAACTTTTATAATTTTGTGGCCACCATATGTTATCTACTGATCACAGTTGACAAGGACAAATACTGCTTATTTTCGTAAGCAGCTTGCCACAATTACATGTGGCGAGCTGCTTACGAAAAAGCCCAGTCTATTGATAAAGCATTAGAAAACAAAAAAAAAACTGGTGTTTAGCTTATAAAATTTGGTCTATGAGCATGTGGCACAATGATTTTTCAGAGATGAATTAAACGTTCAAGTTGATTTAAGAAAAAATCAAGTAATGCTGACAAAAAAGCCACATTACTAAATGGACCTAAATTGCACTACGAATAAAACAAAATATGGTAGTGGTAGTATAGACATCTGGGCCTGCATGAACTATAATGGTGTCGGTCGTTTCAAAATATTCGATGAAAGGCTTGATTCTAATATGTCTAAATATCTCAGAGAACTGAGATATTTAGACATATTAGATTGTTATTTGATGCCTTCTATTGACATTTTCCAAAAAGACAAGGGAATCTTTCCATAAGATAATGCTATATGCTGCTAAGATTTCCAAGCAATTATTTGAAGAAAACAACATTAAAACCATGTCTTGGCCTGCCAATAGTTCAGATCTCAATTACATAGAGAATTTGTGGTCTGGGTTAATCCACAATCTTGATAAAATTGAAATAAATGCTGAAAAAGTTTGTAACAAAATTACTAAATAGTGATCTAAAAGAGATTGCTCAAAATTGTGAACTCCATGCCAAATCATACCAGTGAATGCATAAAAGCAAAAGGATTGTCAACAAAATATTAGTTCTTTTTTTTTTTTATGTTTTGTAAGTATTTCTTTATTAAGGTTTGTTAATTTTGTTTTTGCGGTTAGTTTATTTTAGTTGAAATTTTTTTTTGATAAAAATGAATACTTTTTTAATTTTAATATTTTAGTTTTTATTTATTTTAAATGTTATTACTTTATAACAAATTTATATTGTGGTTATTTGATCTATTTTAGTTTATAAAATTTTAAACTTATATTCATGCTAAAGTAACATGATTGGTTGTTATTTATGGCCAATACTATATATATATATATATATATATATATATATATATATATATATATATATATATGTGTGTGTGTGTGTGTGTGTGTGTGTGTGTGTATATATATTTATATTTATATTTGTATATATATTATATATATATATATTATTATTATTATTATTATTATTATTATATATATATTATATATATATATTATATATATATATATATACATATATATATATATATATATATATATATATATATATATATATATATATATATATATATATATATATATATATATATATATATAAATTAGTAAAAACACATCTAATTTTTTTCAACAAATTGTTTCACCATCAGCAGGCTTATCAGGAAGCATGTCTAAACATCAAAAAATTCAAATTATAGTAAAAATGTTTTACAGGAAGTTGGGAATTGTTATAAATAATTTTGTAATAACTGTTGTTATTTTGCAACCAGGAAGTTGCATCAACTACATTAAAATTAAAAAATTAATCATGAAAAAAATTCTTTAGAATTAGGATACTTTTAGTCTGTTTTTATAATTTTTATTAGGTACTTATTTTCGTGTCAGCATTGAGAAATTAATTCAGATTTTTTGTTAAATTTTTTTGGTTCAAATGAGTAATAATTTCAAATTTTTCTTGTAAACATAGTACAGGGTTTTGTACTGTACCTGGAAATCCTGGAAAACCTAAAAAATTAGTTAGTTTTGGCTGAAGTCATGGAAAACCTGGAAAAGTCAGGGAATTTATTTATTTTTACTTGTTTTACAATTAAGCTAATATGTTTTTGTTGGTGCTACTCATTAATTTGTTTTGACAATCAATAAATACCCTACAGTGTTTCATACGAATGCAATGTAATCACACGCCATTATATGACCACGCATGTAATATTTTATTTTTACAATTTGACTGCAGCTTTTTAATTTTTTTCGATTGTAATATACTTGTGTCGAAAAACTAAGCAAAAACTTAAGGGAAAATAACAGCAAAATAAATTAAAAAAAAAAGAGAAAAAGAAATATTAATAAAAGAGAGAAAAAAAAAAAGTAAACTTAAAAAAATAAAACTCTCCTTAATATTTTAACTCTTAATTAAATGACCTTTGGAATAAACAATTTTGAAACTTTATTATTTTCTAATGTATTTATTTTATGCAAAACGGTTTTGAATCAAGTAAAAAGTAACAGATTACTTTTTTTATTACTAACGATTATTTTCAATAAATACATTTTATTTAAATTATCTATGGTTTTTATTTTATCATTACAATAATAACCAATGTTTCTTTTTTTTAATTTATTAAAAAAAAAACTTTCTATATATATTTTTTTTCATGATCTATATAAATCGTGTAAAACTATTTCTATAATTTATTTCTATTATTTCTATTTCTAAACTATTTCTATATGTCTTGTGACGATCTTGTGCGATTGATTAAGAGTTTTCCTAGGGTGTTCATTAAATCTGAAACTATTGAGACTTGCTCAAAACTTTGAAAACGCATAATTTTGCACCAAAGTTAATCTGCAAAATAAATAGAACTATTTGAAACCCAGTGAAATTGAGGTTGCATTTGCTGCTGAATTATCACTGTGAAAGCTCAGAAAGCAGAATGCAGTTATTTTGAAGGATATTCAAGAATTTAAAATTCAATGCATGCATATTTTCATCACACCTGAAAAAAATATCAAATAAAAATAATGCCAAATAAAAACATTGCTGCATCATCTTATCTCACCTAAAATATTAACTGCTTCTTATTCTCACAAAGATATCAACCAGAGCCTAAAGTTTATGTTATCAAAATTTGCAATGTATCTGGATGCTTTAATTAGCTATGATTAAACGAATAAACACTTTGATAATTTTTACTTCAAAGACCTTTACATAAAAAAGTATCCAGAGGTATCATTTGTCATTAGATTAATTCTGATTCTGAATCATAGACAGGTATTGATTGAACAGGGTTTAGTGTCGATAAGGAATTCGTTACTGAAAATATATCAACAGATAGTATTGTTAGGCTGCGCTTTGTGCGTGATTTCAAAACTTACTAACAACCTCAACCCCCACATTGTCTAGATTACATCAAAAATAAAAGTAGCCCTTAAATCTGCATATCAAAAAAAAAAAAAACTCATGCTTGAGGATGATAAGTCAAAGGATAAAAAACATTCAATTCAGAATCATCATTTCATCAGAAAGTCATTTTGTCTGAAATTAAAGTGCTAAATTGAAGTTAGAAAACGAGTTTGTCAACAAGTGTTTGTGGAACAAGCCAAAAAAAAAAAACAATATATCCTAGATATATTGTTTACTTTTTCAGTAGAGCGCTCACCTCATAAGCGAGGCGTTCCAAGTTTGATCCCCACCAAGCCCCTGGTAGTACGACACAACTTGTTTCTCCCCAAGGTTTGTGTTTCAGAGTTATAGAGTTAAGAAAGGGTTGTAATCGCAACTAAAATAAGCCTCCTCAACTGTAGTGGTCTTCATAACCTTGTGGAGATAAATTAAAATATATTTTATATATATAATCAGGGAAATTTGTCTGATTTTTCTAAAAAGTCAGGGAAAAGTCAGGTAATTTCATATAAATAATTAGCTATGAACCCTGTACTATACATTTTTTGGAAATGTTATTACATACAGGCGCATTTTTTAGAATAGAACAGTTTAATTTAAGATTAATTTTTTTTTTTTAGTTGCCAAATATATTTTGACAGCATAATCTCTTTTATAGTATTTTTTATGTTTTTAGTACAAAAGATTGTTTGTGGTTGGCATAACATTTTTTCCATTTGCCCTAAGTTAAGCCAATATATTGTTTATCAGGGTTGTTTTGCAAGGAAATAATGCATTTGTAAATAATATTTTTTGATAAACATTTGCCATTCATGGTCACTTTTTTATTTGCTTGCATTTAAAATTTTCATTATTTTTTTCTTTTAGAAATTCATTTTTATTAATCAATGCAAAAATATGCTCTTTTATAATTCTTTCAATATTTTTTGTACAGCTATAGCTTACTTTAATAGTGTTTCTATTGAGTATTTTGTACAATTTATTAGAGGGAAGGAAATGTTTGTCTATTGATTTAAAAAATGCTTTTGCAATATTTGTGGAAGCATTTTTGCTGTAGGGTTGAACCAAATTATGTTTGTTTCTGTTTTGCATTTTTTTTTCAAAAACACGTAGAAACAGTTACATAACATTAATTCTCTTTTGTTTTTCTGTCTCAAAGTTCTCTTTTGTCTTTTGCTTTCCTAACTCATACAGTTTATAGTTTTTTATAACATCTCCCAATAAAAAAAAGAAATGAGTAACCTCCTTGACTAGTAGTAGTGTCCCCAACTAGAGAACTATAAAATTGTGTTGTTTTTTTAACTGTAGTGGTCCCTCTGCCTGGGGGAGGTAAATTTAATAAAAAAAAAGAAACATGGGTAATTTTTGATACCCTAAAATGATACCCTAAAAATTCTCTTTGCATACAAGGACTTTTATAAAGCATTAGCCTCCAAGTAAAGAAGATCTTATTTCTGAGTTGGCTTCTCCTAGCTTATGCTCAAAACAGTGATTCCTAAAAGGTAGAACATTCATTAAAGAACAGAACATTGTACACATTCTTTCTAAATATTTTTTCAAATAAAATTGTTTAGAACATTCTAAATACATGTTAAATATTCTTTTCTTATGTTTTTGTTTAATTTTATTAGAATTTATTTTTAGAACGACTCTACTTTGTTGCACTAAGAAACAAACCCAGAGAAACTTCTTCGCTTCATTATTTTTGTATTGATGACGAATTAATATATGAAAAGTAAGTAATTTGAATAATTATTTTAATGAAATAAAAGATAATAAATAATACCATCAGATTTATTTTTTTAAACTTTTTTGTAAAAAAAAAAAAAAAAAAAAAAAAAAAAATAATAAAAATTAATTTCAAAAGGATGAGGTAATATTAAAAGTACTGAAAAAAATTAAGGTAGTAGTTAAAAGGAACTGGGGCTGAACCTTTTAACTTCTATTTTAATTAAAAACTTTAGTGATATTATTGAATTTATTTATGACCTCCAATTAAGATGTACAAATTTAGATATTCCATCATTTTGTGGTGCCGCATGACCTTGAAAATTCTATTGGTCCCTTACAAAAAAAAATTTTTTTAAAGTATGTCAACCTGATACTCAAAATAAGGAAAAAATTTTAAAAATAGTAATCATATTTTATAATAACATAGTTAAAAAAATTGATTAATAAAAACTGTAATCAACTTAAGTTATTTTAAAAGTATCAAAAAAGTTTTTATACTGAGAATGTCAACAATATTATGCAATATTGTTATTTGCAGTAAATAACTGAGATTTTTGAGTTAATATCCACAAGTCCCTATTTTGTTACAGAAGAAAGATCAGATTAAAATTCTGCTGCTTGTTCTAAGCGATCAAAAAGTAAAGAGTTTTATTCAAGACAAAATTATAGAGTTGAGTTGTCATCAGCTAGAGTCACTTTAGATGTAAGGTTGTCAGAAAAATTGTTATTGTAGATAAGAAACTTGAGCAGATAGAACCTTTTTTAAAGTTGCTGAAAGTGGAGGGTTTAAAGTATGACCTGAAAACTGTGGTTAGAAAGAAATTAATAATCTCAAAAATAAAGAAACATAGAGAAAAGATTATAGAGAAAAGACTTATCATAATATAATTGGTCAGTGTGTTTTCTAGAGTTTATAGTAATTAGAACCACTTATTTAGCACTTATTAATAGTTTAGCAAAAATTAAAAGGTGTTTTAAATAACACTTTTTTTAGATTGAAAAAACCACAAGCCGTAGAAGAGTTTAATTAAGAATTGACTTAAGCATCGAATGCCGGATTGATTTTGATATCTAACAATGGGTTAATCTGTTTACCTGAAATGGTAAAAAGAGTATGGTTATTAGATTCAATTGTCAAATAAAAGGAAAAGTTCTTTGCAAATAGCTTTGCCTTATTTTAGGGAGAAGTAATAAGATCTGAGGTATAAGATGGAATATTAAACTTACTTTAGTTAATGACACTGTTGAAGATTTTCAACTGTTAAAGATTTTCTAGTCCCTAGAATGTAATATCTAAGATAAGACAACAGATTTAGTAAACTGAGAATAATAGAGCTTAGCATCAGACAGGAACTTTTTCATTGACTTCTTGCAATAATAAAAAGACATTTGTTCACAAGAGAGATGTTCTTGTAAAAAATAAATATGGTCTAATATATAGCAACTGCACAAGAAGGTGAAAAACTTGTTGTATCGAACAACATTTGTCAGAAAAAAATTAAAGAGGCTTGATTATCAGAGAGGTAGTAGCTTCAGGAAAAAATAGTAGAGATAGAAGTAAGAAAACTTGTAGAGAGTGTATTACCTATGGTATGAATGAGCTTTAGTTAAGAAAAGGTGCTCATAATTCCCAGCAGTTAATTTATGCAGAAATAAGATGTATAAGTAAATAATTTATGCAGCAATTTAAATTATGCAATATTATAGATAAACTATTGTGCTAAATGTTTAGTGCATGTTTATATATTTATTAATTAGTGAAAGAATTTTTTGATTAAAAAGAAAAAAACTCTTAAGGTGTAGACATAAAATGAAAAACACCCATATGTCTTCATCAAACACCCATATGTCTTCATCAAACACCCGATGTCTTCATCACACAAAAAAATTAATTAAACAAGTTTAAAAAAAAAGAACCCTCAAGACACCCTTAAGAATAAAAAATTTAAATATGTGTTCTTCTAACATAACATTTTAAAATATGACACTATATTTTATTGTTTTTTAAGCCAACTCAAACAATCTTTTTTTTAGTTTTTATTCTGATTTTGGTCCTCTCAATATTTCAATGCTTTATCGTTACTGTGATAAAGTCAACAAGAAACTAAAGGTTAGTTATTTATTTTTGAAAGTAATTTTGCTTGATATAGTTCTGTATAACTTATTTGAATTATTTTTATTTTTATATATGCTACTATTCTATTATTTGAAATTATTTAGTATTATAAATTGTTTTTGTTCACAAATCAAAATTTACATGGGTAAGTTGATCTCTGCATGTTTGGTTTCATCAAGGATTACATAAATTAAAAACACTATTTAATACAATTTTACTTTGGATTTTAAGTGTTATATTTTATTTCTTTACATCTAAAGACTGTGGAAAAATGACATTGAGCACAAACTTTTATTCAATGACTACAGCAGAAAAAAAATTTGGTTTTATTGAGTCAAGGACAAGAAAAAGTTCACATTTTTGTTCATTCTGTTTAATAAGAAACAATCTTGTATTGAATAGACAAGGATAGTAAAACAATCACTCAATAAGAAACAATGTCATATTGAAAAGACAAGGATAGTAAAGCAATGAAATACCTACAGAAATGAGTAGAATTTTTAGATTTGTGAGTGTATTGTAAATCACTTTTATGAAATGAGGGGACTATTTCATAAAAATCATTTACAGTACACGTATATATAATGTAATCCCTCATCATATTTTGTTATACAGTCCTTAATAATGATATTTAAAGTCCGATTTTTATGTGTCTAGGGCTTTGGGTGACATTCTGCATCTCATTTTGGGACAATTTTTTATGAGAATCTGAACCAACTCCTTAAAGTTTTGTGATTACCCAGAAAGATATGAATAAGATCATGTCAATTGCAACTTCTTTAAATGAACTTCATAGATATAAGTTATTAAAAATCTGACTTTATTCTCTAAAAAAAGCAGCTATTTTCTATTTGTTTTTGGGCAGGCAACACATTTTCAAACCAAGGGCAAAAAAAAATTGTTACTTAGTAACAATAAATTTACTAAAATGCTGGTTGTTGTATTTTTTCAGTTTACTTTTTTAAATATTTTATTATTAAATGTAAAAAATAAAATTAAATATGTGATTCCTAACCTCATCTAGGAGCTCTAAAACACCTATCAGTCTCTTTATATACATACACAATCAAAGCATCCTCTCCAGGGCCATCCCAAAGAGATTATTTATGAGGGGTGGGCTGGGGGTGTTGTATGTGTTTTTTGCCAACTCGAGACACACACAAAAACAAAGGTCCTCAATATTTGACATTTGCCAACTAAACTTCAAAACTTGCCAACTGAAATGCTAAATGTACCAATGTCCCAACTCAAATGCATATGTAACAGCTTTGGGTAAAAGGGGGGGGGGGGAGGAGACATACCCTACACTCCTTGGTAGGGATGGCCCTTATTCTCTCTACATCACATTATAAGATTTATTTATTTATGATGAATAACTTAAAAATTTTATGAGATGTGTCTTGAAAAGATTTGTTTTTAACGCACTTTACATTCTTAGAAAGTTCAGACTTTACAACTTTTAGTTTAACTAACAACTTAAGAAAATGGCATTAAAATGTTGAGTTACAGTGTTGAAGCCAAATTTGCTCTTCCCTCAAATCAGAATGCAAGTTCTATCAATGTAAAGAGATGATTTTTGTCATTAAAAAATGTAGATTAAGTGTTATTAACAATCATAAAAAAAGAAGCTCTGAGAAATGTTCTAAAATGAAGAATGCTAAAATAAAGACAAGGATTACATAAATTAAAAATAAAAGGAAAAATACATTTCTACATTTTTGTTTTCAACAAAGATTGTTTATATATCAATTCAAAAAATTTAAGAATTTTTGATGAAAGTGAAAGTACCAACAAACACTCCTTTGTCAATTGATCATGGCTCTAATTGCATGGGCTGATTTGCTGCTTTTTTCATAAAATTAGGAAGCCAGTTTTTTTATGGTATGAAAATATGTATTATTTAGACGTATTATGTTATGAAACTGTATCACAAATTTTGTAACATATATCTTTGGTACGCTTTATGTAATCTCTGAAAATTATTTATGTAAACTATTGATGTTTTAAGTATCTAATTTTTTATTAATCATAATGAAACCGCTAAAAGTCTCCAAAGGTTAGCTCTTTATAATAGATTCACAAACATTGCATTTAAAAGTCTCCAAAGGTTAGCTCTTTATAATAGATTCACAAACATTGCATTTAAATTAAAAGTCTCCAAAGGTTAGCTCTTTATAATAGATTCACAAACATTGCATTTAAAGTCTCCAAAGGTTAGCTCTTTATAATAGATTCACAAACATTGCATTTAAAAGTCTCCAAAGGTTAGCTCTTTATAATAGATTCACAAACATTTAAATTAATTTTTATACTTCATCTTTTATTGTACAGACACAAGATTTATATAAAAGTTTATTGAAATTTTTTTAAAAAAGGCTTTAAAAAAAAAAAGCAGTATTATTTGTATGAAAGCCATTTTTTGTTTCTCCTTATTGATTTCTTCTTTTATTGTACAGCCTGGATTTCAGGCCCATCATACTTCTTATCTCATTAGTCCTGGTAATTAGAATGCATTCTTTTGAGTCTAACTTGTAGATGGATGATGTGTCATATATACACATATCAGGCCTTGTTATTAGATTTTATTGCCTAACAAAAACGCTTAACGCTAATAAATGTAATTTTAACACAGCTTAAATATTAAATTTACATTGTTAAAAGTTAAATTGCATCATTAGTTTACTTTATAGTACTGCGTTGTACATAAGTTAAATTTTAAACTGCATTAAAAATCATTTCAACTAATATAGCAAAAATTACTGATGAAATCTAAATTTGGTATTCAAAAAAAGATTAAATTTCATTATGATTTATTTCTTAAAACAATTTTATACTTAACATAGTCTTTTGTTTCTTTATCAAAACTTTTTGTTTTGTTTTTGTTTTTAAATGTATTTAATACAATATTTTTAAATTAAGGTTTTAAATTAAACAAGTCATATATTTTATCATTTACCAATAAGATATTTGTAAACATAATTTATGTTCATAAATAAATTTGTTCAATGTGTTCATAAATAATGTCAAAAGAACTTTACACAATATTAAACTAATATCACCATGAATGGTTGAAATTTGGATGATTTTAAATTGAGTTTTCTCAAAAACCACTTAATCAATTTTAATGATTTTTTAATATAATGATGGTTACCTAATTAGTTTTTTTATGAGTCAGTGTAGTATTGTTTACTTCTCATTAGTTTTTGCAATGTCAAGTAAAGAGTCTGAAAATCAAAATAAAATTTTGAAATTTTACATAAAAAATCCATTGTTCTCTTATTCTACCATTTCAAAAGCATGTAAAGTTCCAAAATCAATTGTTTGAATTGTTATAAAAAGTTATAAGGAAAACAAAACCGTAAAAAGAAAATTGGGAAGTGGTGGAAAATCAAGATTTATTTCTAAAAAAATTTGCAAATAGTGTTAAAAATTTTCGTAATTTATGGATTAATGCTACAAAAAAGGTTATTCAAAGTAAAATTGTGGAGATAATGGCGGGTACTTTGCAAAAAATTAAATTAGTTGCATGTCATAAAGTTAATTTATTTTTGTTGAAATAAAAATTATCTAAACATCATTATAAAAAAAAATCATTACAATTGAATAAGTGGTTTTTGAGAAAACTTAATTTAAAATCCTCCATATTTCAACCAATCATGGTGATAGAATACAAAAAAATTTGTAAAAAACAAACAAATAATTCTTTCTTATTTAAAGCAAAAAACCCCCAAAAAAATTTTTCAATTTGGTTTCACATATTTTAATATATGGTAGAGAGGTTTATGTTTTACATAATGAGTTATTTAGCAGGTGATAAGAAAAATATATTTTTTTAAATTGATATTGTAAAACTATTTTACATTCCTTTAAAACTAAATTTTACATTTTTACTTACATTATGTTTTATTACACTATTTTGCATTCCTTCAAAATTAAAATTAAATTTTTAGTTTTTAAAATCATATTTAATATTTTAAATACTTTTTAACTAAATTTTGTTTAATTAAAAAAGAAATTATATAAAATAATCAGTTTCTTTAACAAAAAAATTAACAGTTACAGCTAAATGCTTTTTTTAAGACCTTGTATTTTCTGAATAAGTATTATATAAACAATTAAGAAATAAATTAAGTGTTATAAAAAAGTTTTTGCTTTATGTAAAACTGCTGAATGCGTTTGCAAATCATATTTTCCTACATAAAATTTGAGCTTGATAACAAGGCCTGACTTACTATAAACATGCATAAATTTAAAAAACAGGTTAGAAAAAATTTATCTACATTTAATTCTTTAGCTCCCTGAATGTCCTACATGGTCATAATCAAACCCTTTTTCTACAAACTACGAAATTGATAATTTGCAGAAAAGAATTTTTTTTCTTTATATGACAATAGTTAATTATTTAATTAAATAGTTTTGTTATTATTATATTTTTATATGCCTTTTTAGACCACATCTCAATCAAGAAAAGTTGTTGTACACTATACATCATTTGATAATCGTAAACGAACTAATGCTGCATGTCTTATTGGTTGTTATGCTGTAAGATCATTTCTTAAATTACTATAGTTTTCATTATGCCTAATTTGTTTTGTTCTTGGTTTAAAATTTTTTTTAATGATTATGTATTTAATACTTTTGCTCAAGGCAAATAGGAGACTCCAAAGAAACCTTCAGAACTTCTCTGTTAAAAATCACAGTTGAAAAATAGGTGGAAGTAATTGCACTTATGGCCCCCAATTTTTAACATGGGGTCCCATGCTGGAAGGTTCTGCAGGCCCCCTTCTTAATGGTTGTGCAAACAAAAAAGAATTTTTTTTTTCTTTGGCAGATAAAAAAAGGAAGAAAATCATTAAAATTTTTTTCTTATTTTTAAGTTTTTTCTTTTGAGCTCCAGATTTATGTTTTTAATTTAAGCTTGTCGTGTTTTAATAATCTGGTAAATTTTTCTTTTGAAACATTTAAATCCTGAACAACATATATAACTTTAAAGGAACAAAACTTATTTCAGCACTATAATATTTTCAAACTATATAAATGTTAGAACTCAAATGATTTTGGAATTTAATTATTTTTGGTTCTAAATTAATTTTATACTAAATTTAAATTAATGTAAATGATTAATCTGAGAAAGTACTGATCAAATTATGTCGATCCAATTACCAAGTAAAAATTGTGAGAAAAACGCAGAAAATGGTTTACACAGTGGTCCAAAAATTCATACTTTTGAGACTAAATACAAGTGTTAAGCTTTTGTGCTCACTTGTTTGTGTATTAATATATACATATTGTGTGTATTGATATATCTGCTGAGCCCTGTTTCTGTTGTCAGCTTTTCTGTGTTTATATTTTTGTTTTGTTATTTATGACTTGTATTTATTGAATTTTTTTTTTAATTTGTTTTTTCTTATAAATTCTTAAAAAAAGATCCTTACAAACTCAATCATATATTTTTTCATCTGTTTAATGTAAAAAATTTATTGGATTCTTTTGAGTGTGGGGCCATGTGATTTACTTAATTATTATTTTTTCCTGTTTGTTATATTTTTTGGTATAACTTATGTGTTCCGAATACTTATAATAGTGTAACTTTATAAGAATCATCAAAAATATGGTCTTACTCCATTATAATAACTTATAATATGGTCTTACTCCATTATAATAACTTATAATATGGTTTTACTTCATTACAATAACTTATAATATGGTTTTACTCTTAATTATAATAACTTATAATATGGTCTTACTCCATTATAATAACTTATAATATGGCCATACTCCATTATAATTTCTAGATAGTGTGTTCTTAATCTTTTAGACTTTTAATCAAGTTAAGTGTTTTTGTAATCATTGGTTTACAATTTTTTTTTTAAGAATTTTTTTTCTTGATTTCTTTAATATTTTTTTTAACATATTTAAAGTTTTGACAACATATTAAAACATTAAATATACTAGCATTAAAATCTGTAAAATATTAACTATACTTGCTATAAGAAGTTATAAAATATTGAATATATTAGCATTAAGGTAAGCATAAAGACAGAAATGAATAACTAATTATCATTCTCTCACAAAATTAAAGTACTATTGTTGTTAATATTATCAATTCTTAAATTATTATTAAATATTATTAATTCTTAAAAGTTAGAACTTTAAGATAAAATTATTAGTAAATATTGATTCAAACTTAAGTTTTTTTTACCTTGTTTATGTTTATTTATCTTGTTTACTTTATTGTTTATTTATGTTTATTTATCTTGTTTACTTTATTGTTTATTTATGATTATTTATCTTGTTTACTTTAATGTTTATTTATGATTATTTATCTTGTTTACTTTATTGTTTATTTATGACTATTTATCTTGTTTACTTTATTGTTTATTTATGATAATTTATCTTGTTTACTTTATTGTTTATTTATGACTATTTATCTTGTTTACTTTAATGTTTATTTATGATTATTTATCTTGTTTACTTTATTGTTTATTTATGATAATTTATCTTGTTTACTTTATTGTTTATTTATGATTATTTATCTTGTTTACTTTATTGTTTATTTATGATTATTTATCTTGTTTACTTTATTGTTTATTTATGATAATTTATCTTGTTTACTTTATTGTTTATTTATGATTATTTATCTTGTTTACTTTATTGTTTATTTATGATAATTTATCTTGTTTACTTTATTGTTTATTTATGATAATTTATCTTGTTTACTTTATTGTTTATTTATGATAATTTATCTTGTTTACTTTATTGTTTATTTATGATAATTTATCTTGTTTACTTTATTGTTTATTTATGATAATTTATCTTGTTTACTTTATTGTTTGTTTATGTTTATTTATCTTGTTTACTTTATTGTTTATTTATGATAATTTATCTTGTTTACTTTATTGTTTATTTATGATAATTTATCTTGTTTACTTTATTGTTTGTTTATGTTTATTTATCTTGTTTACTTTATTGTTTATTTATGACTATTTATCTTGTTTACTTTAATGTTTATTTATGATTATTTATCTTGTTTACTTTATTGTTTATTTATGATTAAAAAAGTAAATTCAAGAAACTTACAAAATCAAACTTTCCACAAAAACTTTTCAACAGTACACAATGTCATTATTAGTATGATTGAAGAAGAATTAAGATTAAAAAATTAATGTTGATTTAACTTTTATCACAATCTCTATAAGCTTCTATAGTTTGTTTAAAATATACAAAAAAGAAAATAAATAAAAAAATATTGAATTCATGATGCAAAAATTAAATTAATATAATAATACAAATTTGTTTTTTCTATTTGTATACAATATTTTTTTATAGTGTTGGAAAAAGTAACAAAACCATTTTAAGGATAAACATATGCATAACAAATAAATATATAAATGTAAACAAAGTTAAATAGATTCAACTACTTAAATAATAAATATAATACAATCCCTTAGTCAAATTATATATTTATATGGATTACTTGACAGTGTTATATTTCTCTAAAAGTAATTAAATTAAAAAAAAAAATTATCATCATGGTAGATGGTACAGTACTGCATAAAATACAGTTAAAAAAAATACTTTTCATAATATTTATTGTCAAAACATTCACCATAAATATGGGATTAAAAAAAAATCACTAGGAGTTGTTACTGTTGGTATCAACTCCTTAACAAAAAAGGTTCTAAGGATAAGCAATGAAAATATTTCAAGAAGTGTTTAAAAATTTTTACTACACCCTAATCAAATTGATAAAAAAAAAAAGTTTTATCTATAAAATGTATTCAAAGTAATAACAATCAAAACAAAAACAGTGAAAAAAAATGTAAATTTTAATAATTGAACAAAACAAAACAAAAATAAAACAAAAACAGTGAAAAAAATTTAAGGAAATAAAAAATGAATTGAATGAATATAAAAATGTGAATTTTGAGTTAAACTAAATTATTATTGATTACTTTCAGTTGCTTTAAAAATGCTTTTTTTGTTTTGTTAACAATTCAAACAAAACTGAAAGCAATGAACTACAGAATACAATAATTAAATACACAAGATATACTACTGTATTGTTTTAAGAAGAAAAAAAAATTGCACAAAAATCAAAAAAATAAAGTCATTAGAAGTTACGGTTGCTATTTTTGATGCAGTTGCTGTAGTTGATGCAGTTGTCACAATATATGTAAAAATATGAAAGTATATTTAAAATATAAAAATATGAAAATATATTTAAAATGTAAAAATATGAAAGTATATTTAAAATGTAAAAATATGAAAGTATATTTAAAATGTAAAAATATGAAAGTATATCTAAAATATAAAAATATGAAAGTATATTTAAAATGTAAAAATATGAAAGTATATAAAATGTAAAAATATGAAAGTATATTTAAAATGTAAAAATATGAAAGTATATTTAAAATGTAAAAATATGAAAGTATATTTAAAATGTAAAAATATGAAAGTATATTTAAAATGTAAAAATATGAAAGTATATTTAAAATGTAAAAATATGAAAGTATATTTAAAATGTAAAAATATGAAAGTATATTTAAAATATAAAAATATGAAAATATATTTAAAATGTAAAAATATAAAAGTATATTTAAAATGTAAAAATATGAAAGTATATTTAAAATGTAAAAATATGAAAGTATATTTAAAATGTAAAAATATGAAAGTATATTTAAAATGTAAAAATATGAAAGTATATTTAAAATGTAAAAATATGAAAGTATATTTAAAATATAAAAATATGAAAATATATTTAAAATGTAAAAATATAAAAGTATATTTAAAATGTAAAAATATGAAAGTATATTTAAAATGTAAAAATATGAAAGTATATTTAAAATGTAAAAATATGAAAGTATATTTAAAATGTAAAAATATGAAAGTATATTTAAAATGTAAAAATATGAAAGTATATTTAAAATGTAAAAATATGAAAGTATATTTAAAATGTAAAAATATGAAAGTATATTTAAAATATAAAAATATGAAAGCATATTTAAAATGTAAAAATATGAAAGTATATTTAAAATTTATTACTCTTGTATTTTTCCAACATCTAAGTAGACAAAATAAACACAAAACTCTATTTTGTATTTATTTTATAATTTTTATATTAAAAAATTGTTAATGCATTTGCAAAAAAAATGTTAATATTTTTTTAAAAAGCTAGAAATTTATAAAAAACTTGTTTTATTTAAATACTTTGGCATGTAAAATTCGCCGAATGGTCACACACGAGCAGTGAACACGAGCCTAAGGGAAGAAATGAAGTACATTAGAATAAAGGAGAATTATTTATTAGACAAAGCATATTTTGACAGTTGTCAAGACAAAAGTAAAGATTAATAGAGGAATATTTAAAAATAAATAAGACAGGCTATACACCCAAAACAGTACTCAACAATAATAACAATAAAATAAATAAATAAATTAAAAAAAAAAAATTGTTTTATAAACACCAATATGAACGAAGATATACAACTAATACCTCACCAAACAAAAACTTGTAAAACAAAAAACCGATCACAAAATAA